ATGCAATGCATTGCATACATGGATTTACTGGCATCATTAAACAACTAAGCCTGATGATAAGGTTGATAAACTAGATTATGATAACAATACATACATGACCTTGTGATTATAATTAATTCATGATGTCAACAAGATTCATTAATATATTTTAATGCATAAGACTTTGATTATAAACATACAGAATAACCATATTAGGCCAATAAGAAAGAGACAATTGATGGCATTATATACCAAATCATAATCAAAACCAATGGTCAATAAACTATATGATATGTCATGGGGTGAATTCAGGTTTACTGAGACCATTTTTGCCATTGAAATGACTGTGAAAAGTGTTCAAATCAACCTGAATTTATACCTATATGAGCTTGTAATTATGATAAGCTCAAGCATTTAATCATATACGGTCAAAAAGATTAATATAATAATGCTTATGAATATTCTCTACGTTATATATGAAAAAATTGGCATTTGTGCATACAGCCTATCTCATGTATTGATATTCATTATAATATATATTTTTTTAATCATACGTGTTATTTGAGTGATATAATCGCAGCTCTTACCGCCCAGCATGTGAGGCGTCAGGTGTGCAGGTAAAGAGCCGATCATCAGTGTCCTCTGCCCGTCAGTCTCATCATCTCTCCGGCCGCTGGTGGGTATAATCGCGCTCTGGATGAATGAGCCGGGTGTGTGTGATGAATACTGGACCCGTTCCCCGATCTGACCCGTCGAACCGCCCGCGTAATAGCGCAACACCGCAGCTCGCGCGCTCCCGCTGTTCACATCGGACCCGGAGTAAGACCTGACCCGGATACCCGCTGACGGACTGCTCTGTTTCTGACCCATCCTTTATAATAGGCTATCGGTCATTAAAACTCCTAGAAGCCACGAACTGAACCTGCAGCCTCGAAATATCGAAGGAGGAAACGCAAAATATGCATTAAACGCTAAATAGAGCGAAGCCCAGACAACTTTTCCCACTTCTGAGTAACTCCAGTCGAGCACACCGCACACTAACACAAACACAGTGATGTCAGGATCACGTGATTCACCGCTGCTTCCTCCTTTTTCTCTGCTCATTTGAAGTTCTCTATTATAACATTTCAATGAAATATGTATATGCTTATCTACTTCACTACCTTCTTCTCCAACATGCAGGAACCCAGAAATGAAATATGTTATTAGGCTACTTAACTTTTTTTTTTTAAATTTCTAGAAATCTTTGCTGATCTTTCCAGATTGAGAATCTGAGCATATACAACTCCCTTGCAAGATAGCGTTTTTTTCTAATAATAGGCTATTGTAGAGTAAATGCTAAATGCTAAAACCGATTTGTCATATTACTATTTTCTACTCAGCGTATAGTCATTAAAGGAGTAGTTCACTTTAAAAAAAACTTTTGCTGATAATTTACTCACCCCCATGTCATCCAGGATGTCCATGTCTTTCTTTCTTCAGTCGAAAAGAAATTAAGGTTTTTGATGAAAACATTCCAGGATTTTTCTCCATATAATGGACTTCAATGGGGACCAAACGGCTCAAGATCCAAAAGACAGTTTCAGTGCAAACTGTTCAAAGTGCCTTAAACGATTCCAGACGATGAATAAAGGTCTTATCAAGCGAAACGATCACTCATTTAAAAAAAAAGACAAAGTTTAAGTTTTATAAGATCAAATGCTCGCCTTGTTCTGTTCCGCGACTCTCCTGTTCGAACTCGTTTATCAAAATGAACAAATCTTTTCCAGAGTCAACTCGTTCATTTCGTTCTTTGAATTAACCAAATGACACGAAAAAGATTTGTTCATTTTGATAAACGAGTTCGAACAGGAGAGTCGCGAACGCTCATCACAGAACAGGGCGAGCATTTGTGCTTATAAAACTTAAACTTTTCATTTATTTTTTAAATGAGTAATCGTTTCGCTAGATAAGACCGTTAGTCATCGTCTGGAATCGTTTAAAGTCCTTTGAAGCTGCACTGAAACTCTCATATGGACCTTGAACCGTTTGGTCCCCATTGAAGTCCATTATATGGAGAAAATCCTGGAATGTTTTCATCAAAAACCTTCATTTCTTTCCGACTGAAGAAAGAGAGACATGGACATCTTTGGATGACATGGGGGTGAGTAAATTATCAGCAAAAGTTTTTTTAAAAGTGAACTACTCCTTTAAAGCTTTGCCTACTTCAATTACTGACTTCATGGGTAAATTGAAACTTGCAACCCCATTCACATCTCATAACATACAAAGTCTAATATTTAAATGTGTCATCATGTGTTCTGAAGAAGGTTACAGCTTATACTGTATGTGTTGGAAAAACAGTGATCGAATAATTATGAAAACACAGCTAAGAAATACAAAATACACTCATAAGGTTCAAATTTAATTGCTGAATTTTAGGTTACAGTACATGCTGACCCAAACAAGTTTTACTCCATTCTAAATGACTCTAAACAACAGGTTGATCAATATTCATCTAAATCAATGACAATATTTCCAATTACCACATTGTAAGATTTGAACAATGTTCTGAGAAATTAAATTAGTTATAAAGGTGACTCAAAATATCATCCACAAATGGATTTACACACCTAAAGGAGTGAGTAAACACATAAATATTAATAAAATGGTCAAATAAACAATAATTAATAAATAATATAAATAATTAAAATAAAACAGGAATCACAAATCCAGTACAGAACTGTTACACAAGTACATAAAGACAAAAATAATATATTTAAACAAACATATACATTTTATTGTTGAGCAAAATTATCTCTGAAGACTTTTGGACAAACAAAACCAAATAAAAACCACAATCTGGTACAGAGAGAGCGTTAACGGTTACATAACTACATAAAGACAGTCAGAAAAACAGCAGCTTTGATCTCAGCAACACACTCCCGTATAATGTTGGTGTGACTTCATCTCTACGCTCGACGTGTGCAGGAAGACACTATGGAAGCAGAAGACGGAGGAGGATCAGCGTCAGCACATTCACAAACAGTATGTCCTGGTGCAGTCATCATGATGAGATATGAGACAGCGGAGTGATAAACGATGCTTTAAAGAGGTCACGTGACCATGAACCGCAGTGACATCACTCAGCTGATAATCACTCTTCAAAATAAAGGTTCCAGGGATTCACAGGAACATTCCAAAAAGAACTTTTCATTCTCTAATTCTTAAAAAAGAGCATTCTGGGAAGTTCTGGTGAATTAAATACGTAATAATTTGCCTAATCAACGTTTTAAAGAAGTACATAGCCACTCGAGAACCCTATGAGGCCCAAAATAAAAAGGTTCTTGATAAGAAGTGGATTCAGATGCGCTGAAGAACCTTTATTTTAAGAGAGTGAAACAGAACTTGTTTTCTTGAACTGGATACACAGTTTTATCTTTCTCTGGTTAAGCCTTAAAGGAGTAGTTCACTTTAAAAAAACTTTTGCTGATAATTTACTCACCCCCATGTCATCCAAGATATCCACGTCTCTCTTTCTTCAGTCGAAAAGAAATTAAGGTGTTTGATGAAAACATTCCAGGATTTTTCTCTATATAATGGACTTCAATGGGGACCAAACGGTTCAAGGTCCAAATGACAGTTTCAGTGCTGCTTCAAAGGGCTTTAAACGATTCCAGACGATGAATAAGGGTCTTATCAAGGGTCATGACTCGAAAAAAGATTCGTTCATTTTGATGAACGAGTTCGAACAGGAGAGTCACGAACGCTAATCACAGAACAGGGCAAGCATTTGAGCTTATAAAACTTAAACTTTTTCATTTATTTTTTAAATTAGTAATCGTTTGCTTGATAAGACCCTTATTCATCGTCTGGTGTCGTTTAAAGCCCTTTGAAGCTGCACTGAAACTCTCATGTGGACCTTGAACCGTTTGGTCCCCATTGAAGTCCATTATATGGAGAAAATCCTGGAATGTTTTCATCAAAAACCTTAATTTCTTTCCGACTGAAGAAAGAAAGACGTGGACATCTTGGATGACATGGGGGTGAGTAAATTATCAGCAGAAGTTTTTTTAAAAGTGAACTACTCCTTTAACTCAGAGGACTAGATATAATATGTTGATTAATACAATCAAAAGACAATCAAGGCAAAGAGAGGATTAAAATAAGAGCGTTGTTAGACACACACAATAACCTCATCAACTCTTCCTCAGCGATTCTCAGACTTCTGATCTGATCCTTGACCACAGATGCTTTGTATGCGATTGCAATCAGCTTTGGTTATTTTGTCATTTAGAAGTGATTTAAAGTACATTTCAATACAAGCACAATCCCACAGACATGAGTCTCATTCAAGGGTACAACAGATCCACAATCGACATCTAGATTCTCCACAGCCAACATGAAATCAAAATCAACCCTAATTACTTTAATATTGCATGTTCCTGGCGGATTAATTGGTGCACGTTATTCCCACCAAAAAGACTTTTCTTATGACGTAATCTTACTTGAGCATGTTCGTAAGTGCTGCACACGACTCTATTTTGCAGTATATATGTTAATTTTGTGTGTTGCATGGAATATCCCAATCAATGATATTCAACATTTATTAAAATATGGGACTATATCCCATAATGCAATGCATTTACCTTCCATTTTCAATTTGATTATGAATAGGAATGCAATAAAAATACAATTTTGATCAGGCTATGAATAATTAAAGTGTTTTTACCACATAATTGGATTCAAAACATCCTTATTTTTGAAGATGACAACAGCACGCCACTCGCTGAATTAAACATGCAACGTAATCATGTGACAACAATCCAGCATTATTCTATTCTGAACATATTTACTACCTTATGATCTTTACGTTACTCCAGTCACATGATGGGTTAGGGAGATTTAAAATAAATAAAGAGAGAGCTGAGAATGAGATAATTGTTTTCATCTCTGCTTGAATGTGATTAGAGTTATCATGACATGACAGATATTGACATATAGATCAAAACAACATGATCATTTGAGTTAAAATCAGGGTGCAGGAAAAGCAGTCCGGATATTAAAGGGTGTAATGATGCAGTGTGTGTGTGTGTGTGTGTGTGTAAGGGGAAGAGCCAGTGAGTAAGGTTACGAGAGCAGGGCTTGATGCAGAGACTGAGCCTCATTATTGCTGGCTCACGCCCATCTGCTGGTGGTCTGGCTCTGGTTCCTCCTCCACGTCTGCATGATACTGATCGAATGTGTCGTCATCGATATCTGGAAGACCCAGGAGCTGCAGGACGAGTTCATAATCAGAATCAAATCACAACAGAATAGAATGTTCAGATGCAACATGCATTCCATTAGAAGATTTGTTTAAACATATTTAAAACATATTTTACTGAAGCAATATTACGGGCCTTAGTCTTACACTTCCTATTTGAGAAAGCAGATGCATGAGCAAAGTTAAAGGAGTAGTTCGCTTTTCAAAAAACATTTGCTGATAATTTACTCACCCCCATGTCATCCGAGATGTCCATGTCTTTCTTTCTTTGGTTGAGAAGAAATTAAGGTTTTTGATGAAAACATTCCAGGATTTTTCTCCATATAATGGACTTCAATGGGGTCCAAACGGTTCAAGGTCCAAAAGAGAGTTTCAGGGCAGCTTCAAAGGGCTTTAAACGACACCAGACGATGAATATGGGTCTTATCTAGGACCCTTGAGTCTTGACTCAAAAAAAGATTTGTTCATTTTGATGAACAAGTTCGAACAGGAAAGTCACGAACGCGCATCACAGAACAGAGCAAGGCGAGCATTTGTGCTCATAAAACAAAGTTTTTGATTTATTTTTTAAATGAGCGATCGTTTCGCTAGATAAGACCCGTATTCATCGTCTGGTGTCGTTTAAAGCCCTTAGAAGCTGCACTGAAACTCTCATTTGGACCTTGAACCATTTGGACCCCATTGAAGTCCATTATATGGAGAAAAATCCTGGAATGTTTTCATCAAAAACCTTAATTTCTTTTCGAATGAAGAGAGAATGGACATCTTGGATGACATGGGGGTGAGTAAATTATCAGCAAATGTTTTTTTAAAAGTGAACTACTCCTTTAATTCAGGGCAAGACCACCCCGAGTGTAAAGCCTAACATGATTGGTTGTAGCGAGAACGTGCTATGATTGGTCAGCTCAATGTGGCCGTTATCTAATTGGCTTGAGGAAGCGGTGGGTGGAGTCCACTTATTTGTGGATTTGTCTGCACGTCGACGCTAGAAGTGTTTCAAAATCCACAAATGCTTGAGGGGATTTACAAATCCACAGGAAGAGATTCACAAATCTATTTCTAATCAATCTATTTCTTTGGAATAATGCAACAATTCTAACAGTTCTGGGAGTTCGCTTTGGTACTATTTCACATGTAAGGTGTATATTTTTAAAACTCTTTGTGATAATATCACCAAAAGTGCACTTTTTTTCAAACATTTCATCATGTTTTCAATTGTGTTAGTACAATACTCAAAATCACAAGGTGTTCTTTTCACAACACAGAACAACTTTCATCTAAATAAATGTTTTATTCACCCGTTCGTAATGCCATTTCTATCAAACTTTTGATTTGCATCTCTTCTTGTTTAGTTTAATACATTTGTTTATTATTTAATCCAACTGATTTTAATGGTTAATCATTTGGTACACCTATAGATTTCTATATATAGATATAGTTTCTACTGTGTGTGTGAGATTTGCAATTTGTGAACATAAAGCAGGATAGAGTACAAAAGAGAGAAATCCGGCTATGACTGTATAACATCAGAGATAGATGGCATGAAATATAGTACATTAAGGTGTGATACTGTAAACTGATTACCATGGTAGAGACTTCCACATTACTGTAACTCACCCTGTAAAGGTCAACTACAGTTTACAGTGAAAAATCTGTTCTAGCACAAAACCTCATGACAGATGCATACTTATACTCTCAGAAATAAAGGTACAAAAGCTGTCACTGGGGCGGTACCTTTTCAAATGGTACACTTTTGTACCTAAAAGGGTGCATATTGGTACCTTAATGGTACATATTAGCACCTAAAATATACCATTAAGGTACCAATATGCACCCTTTAGGTACAAAAGTGTACCATTTGAAAAGGTGACAGCTTTTGTACCTTTTGATAACACACTGGATAGATGCTATTACAAACATTATGGATTCATTTTCATTAGTTATGTAATGTAAGTGTATTTTCTAACGTATTGCTGTAATTATTTTAACAACAAGGCTGAAATGTATCTTGCATTGTTTGCTGTTGAATTAATTGATTGTTAAAAGTAGTAAATTAAAAGATCACTGTTGTGTTTCGATGATTAAACCAAATGTTCACATTACAGATTACAATAATCTTGTGTTTGAAACTGATTATGTGGACTAAAATGTGTGTAACTGTAATGAAAGCATGGGATCAGGTTTTGAAAGAATGACTTCAAAACTACAAGTATGACCAGTTTGGAATTTTTTTTTTTTACTAAAATTTAAAGCTTACATGTGAAAACAGTACCAAAGCGAATAAAAAACAGTAAAATATTGAGTTCTACCTGGCTGAATATGTGAATAATGTGGAGCGAGAGAGACTTACAGGCCTGAAGGATCTGAAGACTTTGTCCAGAACCTCCAGCAGTGTTTTCTTCCCGCAGGACGAGATGTAGTCCTGCGCCAACTGCAGGAACGGTAGACAGTCCTCGCTCTCACTCCACACGTGCTGAAAACACACACACACACATGATTAGATTCAACACCAAATGTGGTCCAAATATTTCACTCATAACTACATTTAACATTTTATAGTTGAGACAGATGTTTATTTATTCAACCATATTTCAATCCTGATAGTGTTTATATATATATATATATATATATCTGCAAAGTCACTTTGTATAAAAAGCATCTGCCAAATGCATGAATCTAATTTTTATATTCATTATTCTTTGGAAAATCAGACTACAAATATGCAAATATACAAACTCCCTGGTATATTTATTCCTGGATTTATTAAATAGGTGCATACGGTATCAAGGAATTCTCTGAACTCAAAGTTGAGCTTCATGCAGAGAATCTGGGACACTAAAACTCTTTGTCGCGTTATAATTATCCGAGCGAGAGGGACCATTTTTCAGTAGATGGCCCAAATAATCTTCTCCTCCGAAACTGCATTTGAGAAAAATATCTAATGAGGAAACAGAATCGGATTCGAATACAATTCAATAGACCATAGAGTTCGGTTAGTAAAAGTCAAATGAATTGTGTTATACAATACATTTCTGTTGTTCAGTGTTTGTTTACTGATACTGGCACGCTGAATATCCCAGAGAGCAATAACAAAAAGAAGTTTGTGCTGTTATAACTAAGATAAATCAATGTTTTGTGTGTTGAATGCGGCACACTTCATGAAAAATTTCAGGGCTCTGGATTGCAGATTTGAGAACAAGAACATGACACACAACACATCATCATCATCATCTCTCAACTCAAATATTTCAATCATAGGTTTCTCTGGACTCCACAAAGCTGTTAATTCATATCAGTTTGAGGCTAATATATGTATGTCCTAGAAAAATGAAAAGTTTACAATAGTTCTTCTAATGCTCAACTAAGGCTATTAATATGATTTCAGAGATTATTTATGCATCATGATCTGTCAGAGGAACAGAGAGGAAAACCTCCTAACCCTATCCAAACCAGAGTTAGATTCACTTACAGACATTCTTATAATGTTAAAATGTCTTTTTTATTATTTAATTTTAAAATCAACATTAGTAACTAATCAAAAATTTAAAAAGCTCACCAGAATGTAACCAAACAAAATGGGTAACACTTAACAATATGTTAATTAATATTAGGGCTGTCAAACGATTAATCGTAATTAATTGCATCCAAAATAAAAGTTTGTGTTTACATAATATATGTGGGTACACTGTGCATAATTATATATATATATAAGAAATATTTTCATGTATATACTGTATATAGATGTATATATAATTTATATTATATATAAATATTTTATATATAAATAATATTTTTTTCTTAAATATACAGTACATGCATGTGTGTGTATCTATAAATACAAAATAATTATACACAGTGCACCCACATATATTATGTAAACACAAACTTTTATTTTGGATGCGATTAATCATTTGACAGCCCTAATTAATACATTAACTAACAATGAGCAATACATTTTTTACAGTATATTAAAAATACGACATCTGTCAGCTCAGGTCCAATATACTGTATAATATTAACAGATACAACTTTTGAGCATGTATTAGTAAATGTTTAAATGAACATAAACTAATATTACTAAATAAAAAAAGTATTTTTTTTTATGTGTTAGTTCACATTAACTGATGTTGTAAACTAATGTTAACAAATGAAACCTTATTGTAAATGCAAGCTTGCTAAAACAACGTAGAACAGCTATTTGGAAATTGGTTATAAGTCCCCGCACAGCACTTTTATAGTCTAAGGCTACGAGCAAAAATGCTTTTTTTTTTGCATCCTTTAGTATTTCATAATATATTTTAATAGCATCATATAACCAGTGAAAATTCAAACCGAAAAATTGCATGCACTAACGTACTTATTTTATAAGTGATATGCATGCACAATTACTGATTTTACACCATTTAAAGAAAAAAAAAGACAAAGAAAATACTGATTATATCTAAGTTTAAATAGACAACAACCCCAGATTTATAAATGTAAAAAAAAAAAAAAATATTTGTATCTATTAATAATGTAAAATCTCCCTCTCTCTCACACACACACTCTTCCTCTCTTGCTGTCTCACACTTTCCCTCTCTCTCTCTCGGTGACCCTGCTGATGGTGGTATTGATCAGTCTGAGTAATAAGAGCCGTGTCCTGCTGCTGATGGGACTGCAGGGTGATGCAGTCGTGTCATCATGTGCATGTGCTGTGATGATGTCAGGGAAACTACAGTAAACTGTTGTGCTTCATGCAATAACAGAAAGCAAACACGTATCCAACAGACATGTGCAAGGGGAGCATGAATGCAAATGCAGCATGTGTTTATACTTCATCACTACACCAAAAAAACAGAACATTTCCGCACTATATCGCTCAATGACAGGGAACTGTGCAGCTTTAGACTTCTGTGCCGATAAAACACATTAACACACACCTCATGGCCCTGAAATGGAGCTGATGCAATACCTGTCTGGCCAGAACATATGCATCAGCCTACACACTGCATATAACATTTATAAAAATGAAATTGTTGGAAGATGCATCCTACAACCTTATAGCATCCAACAAATCCAGCCAGGCATGTGTAGAGAAAGCACTGCAGTCAACAACAATGACATCATTTCATTGTCTTTTCGATAAAGGCCTTAAAACACATGCAAAAAAATAAAAATAAAAAAAGTATATCGGCAATATATAATATACAGGCGTGACTCCAATAAACAGGCCTGTGTCTAATAACATGCGAATACCATAGTAGCATGTCCAGAAACCGTGGTAGTTTTAATAATTGAGCCAAGAGACTGTTTTTAGATTATAACACACACACTCACTCGGGCGCGCGCACAGCTCCCCCTCCGCCCGAGGATATTTCTCGATTATGTCATACTTACAAAATTGTCGGTTCCTCCGGTGAGATTGTCCGGGCAGAGCACGTAGAACGAGATCCCGGGCTCGGCGTAGAAGTCCAGCCGCCTCTCGTCCACGTCCTCGGCGAAGATCAGGTCGAAGGGGTTCCCGGAGCACCATTTCTCCGCGGTGTCCACCAGCTCTTTAAACTCCATCCTGATGATGCTGATGCTGATGCTGCGGATGCTGAGCTCTAACGCTGCGTCGTCATGGTGATAGAGAGAGAGGATTCGTGTTAGCTGAGGTCTCACTGTCTCATATCGGCCTGTACTCGAGTGTTCCTGAACTGGACCTGAAGGACCGGACCCGGTTCAGCCCGCCTGTGCGGAGAACAACGCCTGTCCTCTTGCAGGATGACGTCACATGACAACACATGCGCCCTCGTCATCATCTGCATAAGAGACCATCTCCAAAGAGACACCCGTTTCCTCAACTGCTCAAAATAACTACATATATTTAATAACAATATCTCTTTGATGCTTTTAGGAAATATTAATTAATTTTAACAACAATAACATTTCAAAGAAATGTAGGCCTATAAGCCTACGGAATTTATATTTTAAACAAAAAATTGTTTATGAGTTTAAATAATTTAAGAGTAATTCTTTAAATGAATGTATATATTACATCAAAGATATTGTTCAGGTTAATTATTTATAACTATTAAATTGTGTCTGTGTTTATGTGTGTGTGTGTTGAAATGGCATTGTAGGTTGTATCTATTGTGCTCCACTAGAGGACGCCCTTAGTGCAGTGTTTGGAGCAGTGGGATAACAGAACGAAAAATTTAAACGTAACATTTATACAATTTTCAATTATATTACATTTTAAGAACACTCATTTTTTTCGTTTTGTCTTAAGAACAATCTTGTGGGAAAATATAAGAACATTCACGTAATGTTGTGGTGAATACAAAATATTCTCATCCTTTTTTCCACGAAAATAATGCTAAAAACATATCTGTTAAGAATAATTCTATTTTTAAGAATAGCTAGTGCATAATGACAACAAGCGCAATACTCTCGTCATGCAGTTTTGTCTGTTATTGCAAAAATGAATTTAAATATAGAGTATAATTGCGAAAATAAGCTACTACGTTAACCTCCCTACAAATGATTAATTATATAAGATAAATATCTGGAAATAAAGCGAAATATCTGAGAAATAAGAGTAAACCCAAAAAAGTAAGTAGAATAAGTTAAGCCCGTCTAGAGAGGTAACTTAGTATCTGTGTGTGTTCATGTTTTTATTACATTGTGTGGACCAAATGTCCCCACAAGTAGTAAAACCTGAAATCACCTATTGTGGGGTCCAGCCAGAGGTCCCCATGAGGAAAACAGCGTATAAAAAATGTAAAAATGAGAAACAGAATGTTTCCTGTGGTTTAGGGATAGGGGCAGGGTAGTTGGATAGAATATACAGTTTGTTTGTACAGTATAAAAACCATTACGCCCATGAGAGTCCCCACAAAGATGTGTGCGCCTGATTGTGTGTGTGAACTGCAGTGACCCTCATTCAGGGCACCGGAGGGGGCGGGCGAGATCTCATCAGATCTCCGAGCTCGAGCGGCTCCTCATTCTCCTGTCGGCCGGTGTTTAGTGTGTTTCTGTGTCTGTAGATTCATATCTGTTGGATATGAGGGATCGTGCGTGTTTCTTTTAATCGCGTTTGTCTGGATGAACTAATGGAGTGACCGCAGAAGCGCGGCTCTGCGCGGATCACCGGAGCCCGTTATCCCGGACAGAGACCCGCTTTGTTCGGCTAATAATAAACGAATCGCGTCTGCTATTAAAATGAACGACACAGAGAAAGAGAATAAATCTGATGAAGACTCGGAGTCTCTGGAGGAAGAGGAGGTTGACCCGAGGGTTCAGGTAGCTATACAGAGCAACAAAAATCATTTCGACTGATACCGATACATCTGAGAATTGACATAAAGCGGATTAACGAAACTCGACTGAATACTTATGCTGTTTGACTGTATTCATATGTTATATATGTCGATTTTCAGAAGTCATTCCTGTTTAACCTTCCCGAAACCAGAACTGAAGTTAGACTGGGTCAAACTCTTTCTGGATTAAAGCTCGATCAGATCACACATACATTCGTCAGATTCATTAGTCTGTTATATATGCACCGATAATCCGATCAGATGGATCAGATTGTTCAATAGATGGTGTTTGATTCGATCAGGGGAACCCCATTGTGACATCATCTCTTATATTCTGTTACATTGTTTCTTTGTTTGTTACATTGAGGAACCGCGTTGACATCCAGATACATGTTTACTTTGACGTCATATTTAGAATTCGGTTTCCTTTTGAAAGGAAACGGTTAAGTTCACGTGCACTGCATGCAGAATTAAGCCTCGCTTATGAAGTGTTACATTCCTTTTAGAATTATGTTTTTTATTCGTTAGAAAACGATCTACATGACCCATAAAAAGTATTTCGACACACTATATTGTTTGACCTAGCATTCAAAACGTTTGCACTAGCCTTATACTAAAATCTCCAAAACATCACAAACAAATTTTCTGTAAAGCACGTTTTTTTTGTGTATTTTTTTTTACACACTATCAATTGTTTTATCATTTGAAATGTTTTAGTACTTTCCCAGCAAGCAATAGTCTTCATTTCACCTTCAACTATAGACCATGTAGTCCGGCTCGGCTGTACTTATATGCAAAATAACCTTGAATTTAGTTACATGTGGTTTTTGCCAAAATAACTTTCATGTAAGCACATTAAACAGTGATGTGTTTCGTTTCAATTCCTCACTTATTTAATTTCTTTATAATTGATAACTAGTCTATTCTTGGGCGTTGGTTTAGATTTTTGCATGGTTTTAGTCTAGATGTCTGGGCTGTGACGTCTTTTAAACACAAAATTGCTTGCTGGGGTTCTTTACAGTAAATTACACTTTTAAATGCATTTTAAAATGAATAATTTCTCTTGATAAGAAATTGCTGCAAAGAACCATGAAAAACCTTTATGTAGGACGAGGTGTGCTAGCTGAACTGGTTTTTCATCCTCCACCCATGAAAGAAAATAATCCCGAAATGAAAACAGCAGTGTGAAACATCTGTGTGTCATCAACGTGTAGCTAACATGGGAGGAAAAACATACATAAGAGCTTCATTTCAGTGTTGGGTTACTTGAAGAACACTTTCCAGATGTGGCTGGCATTGCAATAGACATCTAACTGCGATCTGGCTTTATCTCTTCACCAGGGCGAGCTAGAGAAACTGAATCAGTCTACCGATAACATCAACAGATGGGAGACCGAACTAGAGGTAAGGTTCACATGCCTGCTTTCTGCTGTCACTGTTTTTGCTGGAAATGGTTGCAGGCTGAATTCCAAAGACATGTCTGAAAGCCCAGCACCCTCCCCCCTCCGGCGCGCACCAATAGGACGTTTCCTTCACGCGACTGACACCCTTTTAATCCGCTGAGCAGACAGAGGAAATCTCTTCCATCCAAATCTGGAATTCCTGCTCTGAAAGCCACGGGCCACAACAGATAGAGGAGTAGTTTAGGAACATATACTTCCTCGTTTCATTCCAAACCCCAATGACTATCTTTCTCCTGTGGAACACAAAAGGAGATACTAATAGTAAATTGCCAGTTGCTAAATTGGAACGGCTGATGTATGATTACATTTTTTAATACACCCTCACTAGAAAATAATGAGCTGGTACCACGATAAAGGTAAGGTGCCGAGTAACAATAACATTGTAGTCCAAAATATTTAAAAATATTACCGTGGTATACTACCATGGTTCAACAAAACATTTGTTAGTGTATGAAATAATGAGCAAAATGCAGTCATAATCTATGTGTCAGGCCTTGTGCAGGATGTAGAAGACGAGGACAAAAGGAACTCAAAGTAGATGCTTTATTAGCAAAGTTAAACTTTACAGAAATGAAAAGGGAAAACACTCCAGCGCTTCAAATCACACAAGTATACATAGACAAGTATACATATGTATAGACGAGTATACATAGATGAGTATACATAGACGAGTATACATGTATAGACAAGTATACATAGACAAGTAAACATAGACTAGTATACATAGACAAGTATACTTAAGTATAGACAAGTATACATAGACGACATAGGCGAGTATACATACCCGAGCATACATAGATGAGTATACATAGACAAGTATACATAGACGAGTATACATAAGTATAGACGAGTATACATAGACGAGTATACATAAGTATAGACGAGTATACATAGACGAGAATACATAGACAAGTATACCTGGATGAGTATACATAGACGAGTATACATAAGTATAGACGAGTATACATAGACGAGTATACATAGACAACTATACATTAGTATAGTGAGTATACATAGATGAGTATACATAGACACATAGACAAGTATACATCAGTATACATAGTCGAGTATCAGGGACGTGCACAGGAATTTTGAGGGGCAGTTGCTCTGACCTGAAAAAAGGGCACCCCCCCCCTCCTCCCCCCTCACGGGCTATATGAAGGAATATATTCCGTTGAATTTGTCCCCTTCCAAATTCCAAACGCAATGCCTCATCTTATGGTCTTATTATTATTTATAAAGATTGCAAAATGTCAGAGATGAGACAAATGAGCAAAAGAGTTCCTCATATTGTTGTTTATTGTTTTTTAAATTATTATTATTTATTTATTTGAAAAGAAATAATCTGGATTGAAAGGAAAAACTCGAAAAAATTAAAAAAAACGCTTAGATTTCGGGAAAAAATACAATCCTTTTTTGCCAATCCTGACCTCCCCCTGGGGCCCTAAGCAAAATTCTGCTAAGGGGCTCTCTACCTGATCTGTGATGCCGTGAGCCATGTAAACCATTTGCCATTGCCACTCAATACCGCCCAATACAAAATAGTCAAAGAATAAGTACAACAATATAGACCATTTTGCAAGATGTAAACAACACTGGTCCAGAAACACTTCCTGTTTCAGTCTGTAACTGTTTTCTTTATTTCACATGTAAAGAAAACATCTTAAAGATGTTGTTTAACTTTTTGATTCAGTTTTACATGTTCTGTTGGTTGTATTTTATCCCAGCTTTTATGTAGTTTTAAAAAACTGAAACAGGACGTGCTTCTGGACCAGCGTTGTTTACATCTTGCAAAATGGTCTATAGAACAGAATGAGGTTCAAACAAACAATATTTACTGAATAAAGCATTTTTATAGAATGTTAAGATAACAAGTGAATATTAACGTAAACATAAATAAGAAGAAAATAATAAAGTACAACCCTGAACTTTGGCTTTTGGGATTAACTTTGGTTCACTCTACAGCCTGGGTATTTTCGGAATCAGTAGCCTATGATTTTTTTTATATTTAAAAAAAAAATTATGCATGTTAAAGCAAATCTTGATTTATGGTTATTTACTGAGGGATTTGCATTCATATTGACCAGAATGTCCAGCTAATCATCATTTTAAATTCAATATAGCCAATAAATCAATAGTCAATCAATGTCAAATTGCCAATACATTGGTTTCTATCTTGCATAATTAGTGCAATTGTTTAGAGTTTTTACTGAGACTAGATAATCAGTGTCTTTAAAATGTGTACTTTGATTGAGAGTGCCATCATTCACGTATTGTACAGTATTTCTGGTCTCCACATTTCTGCTTGAAAAATGCGAGTTTTATTTCGTGCACGCGCATATGAACGCAACACACGCGACGCTGTTATGTTTTCCGAGCTGCAGTAAACAAACACTGTTGTTGCACTTTGTCGTTTATCAAAAACAAAACGTAATAAATAATGGTATTTTACTCTCACATTTGTCAGGCAAAAAGTGATGCAAGAGATGCACTGTCTGCCCAGATAGTTAGCAAGACCAAAAACCATCAAACTTTGCTGACATCAAACCTAGAGAGGAGAGAACACAAGTTTACCTGACTGCTGTTTCCGCAATTCACTTTCATGTTTTTCTTCTTCCTCTTTTCGTGACGAGAAGGATAGTTTCGCTTCATTTTGTCATGGACTTCGTACACATTAATTAGCGCGCGACAAGAGATGGAGGCGCGGCCTGAGTAATTTGCGGTGCCTTACCACGCGTGCGGCACTGCAGCCACGTAAACAGTTTGACTTTCACTTTCAGTGCCCGAATGGAAGTGAATGAGGCTTTGCGATTTTTATATTATTATTTATTTTATTTTTTTTGTCTAGGCCTACGTGAAATTGTACATCCATTGTACGATTTTTTTTTCCTCGGAAGGGCAACCTGGGTCGAGAAGGGCATATGGGCAGTTGCCCGGGCAACCTGAGCAACCCCCCTGTGCACGTCCCTGTCGAGTATACATAGACAAGTTTACACAGACGAGTATACAAAGATGAGTATACATAGACAAGTATACATAAGTATAGACGAGTATACATAGACGAGTATACATAGACAAGTATACATAGACGAGTATACAAAGACAAGTATACATAGACAAGTATACATAGACAAGTATACATAAGTATAGACGAGTATACATAAGTACAGACGAGTATACATAGACAAATATACATAAGTATAGATGAGTATACATAGACAAATATACATAAGTAAAGATGAGTATACATAGACGAGTATACATAGACAAGTATACATAGACGAGTATACAAAGACAAGTATACATAGACAAGTATACATAGACAAGTATACATAAGTATAGACGAGTATACATAAGTACAGACGAGTATACATAGACAAATATACATAAGTATAGATGAGTATACATAGACAAATATACATAAGTAAAGATGAGTATACATAGACAAATATACATAAGTATAGATGAGTATACATAGACAAATATACATAAGTATAGATGAGTATACATAGACAAATATACATAGACAAGTATACATTAGTATAGACGAGTATACATAAGTATAGACGAGTATACATAGACAAATATACATAAGTATAGATGAGTATACATAGACGAGTATACATAGATGAGTATACATAGACAAGTATAGATAAGTACAGACGAGTATACATAAACGAGTATACATAGACAAGTATACATTGACGACGACGACCAACAAATACAATCTGAACTGAAACAAACTAAATACAGAGACTGATGAACACTAACGAGGTGAAGACAGGTGAAACAGATGACGGGCAGGTGTGTAAACGAGGGATGCTGGGAAGTGTAGTTCTCCGAAAAGAGAAACTGATAGAGAAACAAAGATAGACTGGTGCAGACGATGACTGTGACACTATGTAAGGATTATTGTAAAATTAGCTTTATATATATATATATGAAACCTTATAAGTCCTCTTTTTGTTCCTCATCCTCATTTAGAAAGACAAACGATAGCTCTGTTCTCTGTATTTAACTGTATTTGGCCTGTGATTAATCAGCAGAAGGAACTTTCTGTCAGAGGAAGTCTAAATCCCTCTGACGTGTCTTTTGTCACTGAGGTCCTGTGTGGAAGGATGTAGATGTCAGTGTTTTTAAATATGTCCAAACCCAGTCCACAACAGATTGATGACCGGCAGAAGTGGACACGGTACACGGACACACGCACGACTCAAACTCAAACTCACGCACGACTCATCCAATGCAACAAACGGGATTGTTTCTTTCTGCTGAGGGAGAGTTTCTGTCTAGAAAGCGGGGTGTAGATTCCTCCTTAACTGGGTTAAATGCTGAATCGAGTTAGCTGAAGCAGCGCTTTTCAGGAGCAACAAAAGGCTGCTTATTGAAGCGTTTCATTGCTCTCATAATTCAGAGATTCCTGAGCTTACAGTGCATGTTGCCTGGATATGATGAGCCTGAGATTTATTCATGTTTCATTGACTGCATGTACTGTAATTCACACTTCAGTACACTTGATAACACAAAGACAAGTATTCAGTAGTTCATACATACCGCTAAAGAGGTCAGGGACTCAAACCTTAGACGGCTGATTGATTACTACTTTCACATGTTAAAGGATTAGTTCACTTTAAAAAAAACTTTTGCTGATAATTTACTCACCCCCATGTCATCCAAGATGTCCATGTCTTTCTTTCTTCAGTCGAAAAGAAATTAAGGTTTTTGATGAAAACATTCCAGGATTTTCTCCATATAATGGACTTCAATGGGGACCAAACGGTTCAAGGTCCAAAAGACAGTTTCAGTGCAAACTACAAACTGTTCAACGATTCCAGACGATGAATAAGGGTCTTATCAAGCGAAACGATCACTCATCTAATAAATAAATAACAAAGTTTAAGTTTTATAAGCTCAAATGCTCGCCTTGCTCTGTTCCGTGACTCACGTTCGTGACTCTCCTGTCAAAATGAACAAATCTTTTCCCGAGTCAACTCGTTCAACATTGAATGAACCAAATGACACAAAAAAAGATTTGTTCAGTTTGATAAACGAGTTCGAAAAATTCTTTCATTGAAGAACTTTCCACTGAGTTCGACAGATTTCTGAGTTTGTGCCATTGAGTATTGAGATCGAGTTTAGTTTGAGACACTTGAGCTTGTGTGATTTTCGATTCACTGTCTGTTATTGGCCTCTGTTCTGCAGGATTCCCGGCAGAAGTTTCGCGCCGTCCTGTTGGAGGCCACAGTCAAACTGGACGAGCAGGTCAAGAAGATCGGGAAAGCCGTGGAAGACTCGAAGCCGTACTGGGAGGCCCGGAAAGCGGCCCGCCAGGTGAGAGCCGAGACTGTTTGTTTTGTCACTGTGTTTTGCTGGAATCTCATTGGGGGAATAAATGATTTGGAAAAACACATTTAGTCATTTTAAAGGTGCTATATGTATTTTTAAACGGCCTCTATTGGTGATGTTTCAGATTGCAACCAATTTTTACAAGAGCGCTTGACCCCTTCACACACAGTAATTATGATGATTGTAATGTGTGATAACCCCTTCACACACAGGCAATAAAAAAGCATTCATCATTTTAGAAGAAAAGTTACATATAGCACCTTTAAACGTTCTGAAATATAGTCGTTCACTGCTGTGAAAAGGAAAGCAGACTAAAGCACAGTTATGTAATGAAGGTTTGGCTGTTGCGACGGACAGCTGGAAACATCTGGTGACCCGGTTCAGCGGGCACGACTCTGGTTAACCTCATATATCTGTGCCAGTAGACAACACTGGTAACTGTGGATCTATGTTAAAAGGAAACTATGTCGAAATTACCATAGCATGTCTAGAGCTGGACAATATATTAAAAATACTCATAATTTGATAGATGGATGGATGGATGGATGGATGGATGGATGGATGGATGGATGGATAGATAGATAGATAGACAGACAAACAGATAGATAGATATATAGATAGATAGACAGACAGACAGACAGATAGATAGATAGATAGATAGATAGATAGATAGATAGATAGACAGACAGACAGACAGACAGACAGACAGACAGACAGATAGATAGATAGATAGATAGATAGATAGATAGATAGATAGATAGATAGATAGATAGATAGATAGATAGACAGATAGACAGACTGACAGACAGACAGATAGACAGACAGACTGACAGACAGACAGACAGACAGACATATACAGTAGATAGACATATAGATAGACATATAGATAGACAGACAGACAGAAAGACAGACAGACAGACAGATAGATAGATAGATAGATAGATAGATAGATAGATAGATAGATAGATAGATAGATAGATAGATAGATAGATAGACAGACAGACATATAGATAGACAGAGAGATAGACAGACAGGCAGACAGACAGATAGATATATAGATAGACAGACAGACAGACATACATATAGATAGACAGAGAGATAGACAGACAGACAGAAAGACAGATAGATAGATAGATAGATAGATAGATAGATAGATAGATAGATAGACAGACATATAGATAGACAGAGAGGTAGATAGATAGACAGACAGACAGAGATAGACAGACAGATAGACAGACAGACAGACATATAGATAGACACATATAGATAGACAGAGAGATAGATAGATAGATAGATAGATAGATAGATAGATAGATAGATAGATAGATAGATAGATAGATAGATAGATAGATAGATAGATAGATAGATACAAACAAACGGACGGACGGATGGACAGACAGACAGACAGACAGACAGATAGATAGATAGATAGATAGATAGATAGATAGATAGATAGATAGATAGAGATGCAAATCATATATATAAATAAAAACATAATACTGTCAAAAGAGTGCAATATATTTAGGGTTCATATCAAGGGTTAATAATCTTTGTTATTTTTCCCTGCAATAATCTTGATTTATGGTTAAATAGCCATCCAAAATACATAAAACAGAACAAAGAAATACATTATTTAGCAGTGCGAAACTATCTCTCCATCTAAAGTGTCATGAACTAATAGTGTCATCTTTGCAGATTAACAGCAGATTAACATTATTAATGTCCTGTATTAGTGTGCCATGATCAAAAAAAGAGTGACTCAAATTTGGTGGAGGAGTTTAAGAAAAACATGTTTGCCCCAGTTTAACTTCTCATAATCACATGACCGCCTTCCAGCCCAAAGCCATCCTGCGCTGTCAGCTTCTGAATAATGAATGACCTTCAGTGCAGCGGACAGGCCACGGCGGTTTGTTTGCAAACAGGCCTTGGTATTTCCTATAGATAGAAACAGCTAAGGAGAGAGGACTGAACATGCATGAAAAGCCCCTTCTCCTCAGAATATCTTAGCACAGTTATTGCAATCAAAATCTACAGTTTAATATGATCAAGCATCTGTCATTAGTGTCATGTGAGTGTGTGAGGATGGATTTGAGATCCCTGCTGCTTTCAGCCATGAAATTCTCCATATTATCACCTTGTGACAGTGATAAATCAACACAAATGTTGCTCTCAAACTGTCATAAAGGAGCTTTTTATATCCAAGAGGACTTTAGTGTGAGTTCTGCTCAGCTTCTGGCTCTAACGCAAGTATAACACTGTCAAAACCCGACAGAAGTGCAGTGTTTCTCATAGATATAGTGTATATTCACATGTTTTAAGTCTGTACGATTTATATATATATATATATTGAGAGATTGAGAGAGATAATTTTCATTAGATAAACTAATTTATTTTCAAATGAAGTGATGAAGAGATTGACTCTCGTGAGAAAGCTGTGAGAAGCCTTCAGAAAGACAGAAGCTTCAGGCTCAAGTCTATTTTTATACGCATTAAAACAAAATGATCTGACATTAGTCACGAGTCAGTGAAGTGCCGCCAAGAAAAAGACTACGTTAGCTAATCTTTGAAAAGCTCCTGGGAAAACCTGATTCATTTAACCTGAAGTGTACACAGATCGTAAGTAACACATCTGTACGTCAGCATCTACTCATAAACGTCCTTACTGTGAACGATACATAATAATTCAGATTGAGTCAATAATACACAGCACACACACTGTTATTGATGTTAGCTAATAAGATTTAATGGCTTGATTTAATCTTATAATGCATTATACTATTGTGTTTGATTTGTGTAAAGCTGTGTGTGTGTGTGTGTGTGCGCGCATTTCTCTGCACTGGTAATCAAATGAAGGTGGTCTTGTGTAACTCTCCTGTCATCACTTTAAAAGACCACCATGATTTGTCTGTGTCAGTGGGTGAGACACACAGCTAAGACTGGCAGTGCCAGCTGTCTCTCTGTCAGATGCCAACGCCCACATTACAGCCAATCAGAACACAGTACACGATCCACACCTCCAGCTACAGCTGAGCAGACAGACAGACAGACAGACAGATAGATAGATAGATAGACAGACAGACAGACAGACAGACAGACAGAGATATAGATGGATAGATAGATAGATATATAGACAGACAGATAGATAGATGGATAGATAGATAGATATATAGACAGACAGATAGATAGATAGATAGATAGATAGATAGATAGATAGATAGATAGATAGATAGATAGATAGATAGATAGATAGATAGATAGACAGATATATAGATAGACAGATATATAGATAGACAGATATATAGATAGACAGACAGACAGATATATAGATAGATAGACAGACAGATATATAGATAGACAGACAGACAGATATATAGATAGATAGACAGACAGACAGATATATAGATAGACAGACAGACAGATATATAGATAGATAGACAGACAGATATATAGATAGACAGACAGACAGATATATAGATAGACAGACAGACAGACAGATATATAGATAGACAGACAGACAGATATATAGATAGACAGATATATAGATAGACAGACAGACAGATATATAGATATACAGATAGATAGATAGATAGATAGATAGATAGATAGATAGATAGATAGATAGATAGATAGATAGATAGATAGATAGATAGATAGATAGATAGATAGACAGATATATAAATAGACAGAAAGACAAATATATAGATAGATAGACAGACAGACAGAGATATAGATAGATAGATAGATAGATAGACAGACAGACAGATATATAGACAGATAGACAGACAGACAGACAGATAGATAGATAGATCTGTCTGTCCGTTGGAATATTTATATATATATATATGGACGGGTGTGTCTTGACTCGTGTAACAGTGTGTGTGTGTGTGTTCTGGCGCGTCTCTCACCTCTCGTTCCTCTGGCATCTGTCCTGTCCTGTGACACGTGAGCAGACATCAGACATCAATGACAGGCGACTCCAACACGTGTCAGCTGACCTCACACCTCACGTCCCTTCACAGCGTGTGTGTCTGAGTGTTGATTAGAGATGAGCAGAGGTTTTAAAACACACACACACACACACACACTCATGGACAAATCAAGGCCATTTGAACTGGCAGTACGAAGGTGTTATCCAGACTGAAACTGCATCGAATTTTCTGCAATGTCTCATATGCAAATAACCACTCAGTTGGACAAAAAAATAATAATAAAAATGCAAAATAATAATAGTTATTTCTAAGATTATAACTGAATATGACAATACTACTGTTTAATGTTGCACAAAAATAGCTGGCAACATACAGGATACAATGCAGTATTGTACTGGAAATGCTCAACTTCCTGTTTCTACACAAATATTTAAGATTTATGTATTTGAATTGCATACAAAACATCAACTTGCACAGTTTTAATATAGACAAGCCAATATATGCATAATACATGCTAATTATAATGCATATTCCTGGTATGGTATGATTTATGATAAAAAAAAAATTAAATACACAATAACCAGGTATATGAATTTTTAATCAATCATTTAATCAAATGAGTTTCAGTCTTTGAACTATTTGAATATTGTTTGTTCCACAGCCAGCCGTATTCAAACTTTTTAAATTAATACATTAAATTGTGTTCACAATTATATTATGTATGTTCATTATGCATTTTGAAAACAGTTTTAAATATATGCAAAGAGCTTATAATAAACTCGTTTTTTTACACTTCAGGGCCACCGTATTGTTCTGTAAAAATAATTTTATATCAAATGAATTATGCCATAATAGGAAAGATTATGGACAGAGAGAGAAAGAGAAGGAGGCCGTATTTCCCAAATCATAGTGATGAAGAAAGATCCGGATTGACTCTGATCCCTGCGGATCTGCAGAAGGAAAACGAACATCTACACGTCTCGCTTCATGTGTGTTTTCATAAAGGGATGTCAATTACAGTCAGTAAATATGTGTGATCATGCTAAACCCAGCAGGAGGAAGTTTGTCGATTATTTACAGACAGTGAAGTTAACATGCAAACACACTTCTGCATTTAATACGAATGCTAATAAAAACACGGGACTTTTGAGTTATTGTGCCAGTAGAGCGGCTCATTTCCTCCATTTCTTCGGGTGGAAGAACTTGCTTTGATCGTCAAAGCGGGAATAGCACTGAGTTTTTAGTAGGTCAGACAAAGTTTAGGGTGTGTGTTGAGGTGATTCTGCATCTTCAGATCATTAAATGGTAATTCAACTCGATTTCATGACTGCTGCTCATGAAAAATTCATCACGTCTGACCGAGTTTAGGAAGAAAATAGGTCAGCAAACCAGAAAAAATCATACTTGTGCTGCCTGTCAAACACATTACCAGGAGGCAGTATAAGAAACAGTGCATTTCTGTTCCCTTCTCACTCCAGACACACTGAACACAACAAGTGTGTGTGAACAGACAGGCAGACGAGCGAGTGTGTGTGTGTGATTTTGACCTTTAAAGCTCCACAGCAAGTGAGAACCTTTATTGACGTAACTGTAATCTGTCATTAGTGTTAACAGAGCTCAGCTTCACCTGACCTTCACTGAGTGGACGACACTAAATACAGGTGTAAACAGGGCCTAAAACGTTTTAAGTTCATTGAGGTCAGAGGTCATTAAAGGAGTAGTTTTGCTGATTTCCTCAGTCGGAAAGAAATTAAGGTTTTTGATGAAAACATTCCAGGATTTTTCTCCATATAATGGACTTCAATGGGGACCAAACGGTTCAAGGTCCAAAAGACAGTTTCAGTGCAAACTGCAAACTGTTCAAAGGGCTTTAAACGATTCCAGACGATGAATAAGGGTCTTATCAAGCAAAACGGTCGCTCATTTAAAAAATAAATAACAAAGTTTAAGTTTTATAAGCTCAAATGTTCACCTTGCTCTGTTCTGTGATGCGCGTTCGTGACTCTCCTGTTTGAACTCGTTCATCAAAATGAGCGAGTCATTTCGTTCATTTCGTTCGTTGAATGAACCAAATGTCGAAAAAAAATTCGTTCATTTTGATAAACGAGTTCGAACAGTCACGAACGCGCATCACAGAACAGAGCATTTGAGCTTATAAAACTTAAACTTTGTTATTTATTTATTAAATGAGGGATCGTTTCGCTTGATAAGACCCTTATTCATCGTCTGGAATCGTTTAAAGCCCTTTGAACCATTTGTAGTTTGCACCGAAACTGTCTTTTGGACCTTGAACCGTTTGGTCCCCATTGAAGTCCATTATATGGAATAAATCCTGGAATGTTTTCATCAAAAACCTTCATTTCTTTTCGACTGAAGAAAGAAAGACATGGACATCTTGGATGACATCAGCAAAAGTTTTTTTTAAAGTGAACCACTCCTTAAAAACACATTCGACCAGATTGCTGGCTTGCTCATTGGACCGAATGCGTTTTCGTCAGAAAAGACCGTCTGCTAGACGTTTTTCCAGCTCCTCGTTGTGCGTCAGTATGTTAGGAATCCCTCGGTGGGACGCTGGAGAGTCTTCAGGAGCACGGCTCATCACGAGATACATCATTGACGGCTTTATGGCTGTCGTTTCTCCAGACTCCGCTCACACACAAGCTCTTTGTGACTGAGCAGCTCGGTCAAAACCACAGTATAATGAGTGACACACAGTTTTATAGGCCGCTATTCTGGGTTACTCTGTGGTCGTGTGCTGCACAACTGGTGTTGATTGAGTCATGGATTTTGTAATAGCCAATACTGAAAAAAGAACATTTATAGAACAGTGTGCAATTTAAAGATTACTGTACAAAAGTTTAGGGTTTCGGTAAGAGTTTTCAGGAAGAAACATGTCCAAAAGTGACTTTTTATTTCAAATAAACGCTGTTTTTATTAACCGTCTATTCATCAAATCACGGTATCACGGTTTCCACAAAATAATACATTACTTTATTCCCCACAAAGTTGTATACTACAGTAGCATAGGCCTACTAATTTAATACAAGACAAATCAAACACCTTTTCGATTAAATGTTTAAAAAAATCACTAAAGCGCCCACTGAGAAGCCAAAGCAGATTTAGAAAGCAGCGTTTAATGTGTCAGTGTATTGCTTCAGACTTTGCCCACACACACACACATGCCATCATCACATCCTTGCATTAGCAGAAGCTTAAATAGAGCCATTGTTTGATGCTGTACATGCATTGTTTCATGATGTTGAATGCTCAGTTTTGAACAATGGTCAGAAAGGTCAGTTTTAGAAACGCATGACGTGACGCATCACCAAACGGGCTCATGAACCCGATGAAAACAAGCGTTCCTCTGATCTCGCTAATGCAAAGTGCACGTCTCTCTCTCTACCTGAGCTCTTCTGTATTCTTCCGTGCAAAACAGAAATAAACACTGACGTTCGTTTCACACAGCGCTGACCGAGCCACTGACTCCAGCTGGGGTTTAATGGACTGTGACACAGATAAAGCAAGCAGGACATAAAGAAAAAGATAATATGAAACTAGTATAGATAAATTCACTTACTAACGTTAAATCCAGTTTTTTAATCTCCTGTCATGAGTTTAAAGCTGAAATACTTAAAAATAAACACTTTTATAAATAAAGGTTCTTTATTGGCACTGATGGTTCCATTAAGAACCTTCGAAATCCACGGAATCTTTTCATTCCACAAAAGAGTTCTTTAGAATTTTAAAATGTTCTTCGCACTAAAAAATGGTCCTTGTAAGAACTTGGGAATGGGAAAACCCCTTTTTAGACGCTGAGGAAATTACAATTATTATTGGATTCTACAACTGAGAAGAGCCTCGTGGATTTTGGAGCTTTATGAAATATACATTAGCTTCTTGTTTCAAGCTGTTGTAGTTTTCTTTATGAATTATTCAGCTGAATATAGATTTGAGAAATGTAAATGAGAAGCTCATCCCACAGAGAGACAGAGCCTGGTCATGTGATCCACTAAAGCTGAGCGACTAATGCCGTGTCTGATGAAGCTTTATGATTCATTGTGGCGAAATTAAAAGAAAACTGAAGATTAAATTGTGGTAACAGTTTAGCATAAGATCCCATTATGGGAATGATGCTAAATAATGTTAATAAATGTAAAGTGGTACCAACTGAGCTCACTCTAATTCTTTCAGAAACAGAAACTTCACTAGAAAGTGTCTCGCAATGGCACTGAATTGTGGTATTTGCGTCATTAATATTCAGTATTGACAGCAGTTGTTTACTACGGTATCTTGGTAACACTAAGGATGTGTCATCATCGTTTACATAACAACATGTGCACACTTGAATCTGCTGCGAATGCATTGCAGGAGATGAGACAGTTTCTGCTGGACATGAATTATACATTATGCTTCAGAAATTATAGCGTATTGCATTCATACTAATTGTACAAACAAGCCAAACTAGTCCTGAAACTGGTGATATTGTGATGTTTCAGGCTCAGGTTGAAGCTCAGAGAGCCACACAGGAGTATCAGCGGGCCATGGAGATCCTGCGGGCCGCGAAGGAGACCATCGCTCTGGCCGAGGAGCGTCTGCTGGAGGAGGACAGTCGACAGTTCGACTCGGCCTGGCAGGAGATGCTCAACCACGCCACCCAGAGGGTGAGAGACACAACGCCACTCGCCATAAACATGCTGTGCTATATATGAGTTACAATATTCTGTTCTATGCCTCGCAGTTAATGTGATTCTGAACCGCTCTGATTGGCTCTTCCAGGTGATGGAGGCGGAGCAAACCAGGACACGCAGTGAACTCGAGCACAGAGAAACAGCGACCAAATACAACGCCGCCATCAACCACATGAGACAACTGGAGAAGAAGCTCAAGCGCACCATCAATAAGTCCAGGTCAGAGGAGGACCATCTCTCCATTCATCCATCTCTTCATCCATACATCCACCCATCCATCCACTTACCCATCCATCCATCCATCCATCCATCCATCTCTCCACTCACCCATCCATCCTTCCATCCACTTACCCATCCATCCATCCATCCATCTCTCCATCCACCTATCTATTCATCCATCCATCTCTACACCTACCCATCTCTCCATCTATCCATCCATCCATCCATCCATTCATCCATCCATCCATTCATCCATCCATCTCTACACCTACCCATCTCTCCATCCATGCATCCACCCGTCCATCTCTCCACCCATCCATCTATCCATCTAATCTATCCATCCATACATACATACATAGATCCATCCATCCACCCATCCATCTCTCCACCCATCCATCTCTCCATCCACCCATCCATCTCTCCACCCATCTATCCACCATCCACCCATACATCTCCCAATCCATCTATATCTCCACACACTCACCCATCCATCCATACATATCCATCCACCCATCCATCTCTCCACCCATCCATCCACCCATACATCTTCCAATCTATCTATCTCTCCACACTCACCCATCCATCCACCCATCCATCCATCTCTCCATCCACCCATACATCTCTCCATCCATCCATCTCTCCACACACTCACCCACCCATCTATCTATCCATCCACCACTTTATCCATCCATACATCAATGCATCACTCTGTTTTTGATATACATACACTACCGCTCTAAAGATTGAGGTCTGTAGGATTTGTTTAGTAAGAAACGAATGCTTTTATTCAGCAAGCACTCGTTAACTTGATCAATCAACAGAAAATCTTTGTTCGCAGCATTTATATAAAGATAATACACACAAATGTTGCAATGGACATAAAGAGGAGACACCCTAAAATCTTGCTGAAACAAGTTCTGCAGGACATGCATCATTCATAATGATTCATTTCAAAAACATATTTGGGAATAAAATTATGTTTGCTTCAGAAAACCCACAAAATGTTTCCTCTCTCACACATAACTGACCCAAACTCTGTGTTTCCCCACCCCGGGCCTCTGCTGTGCATGGAAGTGTAGCTCAGTGTAGTTCAGTGTGGGCCGTCTCTAATGCGTTCCAGATGTGCGTCTGCTGATGGAATGTGAGAGCTCTGCTGTTGCCATGGAAACCGGCTCTGAGACTCACTCTGTTCTAACCGTGCTCTTTCTCTCCCTCTGCAGGCCGTACTTTGAATTAAAGGCCAAGTATTATCTGCAGCTCGAGGTACGTCAGTTTTTATTTGCCACAAAATAACTCGAAATACTTTTCATTAAAAAAATCTAAGATTACTTTTTTAATTTATATTTATATAAATATATTTATAGATCTTTTTTATTCATTAATTCATATTTATTTATATTTTATCTAAAGAAAATGAAGGCTATTTTTAAAACCATTAAGTACCCTTAATTCTCATTACTGTAATATAAATAAAATATTTTATTCTTATTTTATATAATTGGAAATTATTTAAATTGTAATGATTTATGCATCATTGTAGTTTTTGTTGTGGTGAAATTAACTTCTTTTGATGTATATAAATCATTGTACTACAGTATTTTTTTAATATTTTAAAATTTAAATATAAATTAAAAATAACATTTCTCAAATATTTAAAACATTTTAGTATTTAAATTACTATTATTATATTATTTATAATAAAAAATACAGTATATAATAAACTAATCTCAGGAGAATCACCATTAAGCATAGTGGAAATTACAATAAATAAATAAATAAATATATATTTTTTTTAAAACATACAAGCGCATTACAGTAATGAGACTACTTCAATTAAATGTATATTATTTAAATATATTTAATTAAAAAAATGTATGTTTAAATATATATATATTTTTAAAATAGAATATGTAATACAGTAATGATCATCTCAGAAGAATCATCATTAAGAATGACAGAAATGTAAAAATAAGATAAATAAATGTAAATAAATAAATATATAGATAAATAAATTTAAATACATACATACATACAAATAACAGGCGCATTACAGTAATGAGAATTTGGGATAATGTGCTAATAATATGTTAATAAAAAAATGTAATGATCCAAAAGTACCCTTCTTTAGACATTTTCTTTAGACAATTTTTGCATGTCATTTGAGATTATTCCTTTTAAAAACATAAACTAACATGTAGATTTTGATAATAAATATATGCTTTACCTTGTCCTCCTTCTCCCACACAGCAACTGAAGAGACGGGTCGACGAGCGTCAGGCTAAACTGACCCAGGCCAAAGCCGAGTACCGGACGGCCCTCCGGAACCTGGAGACCATCTCGGATGAGATCCACGCCCGGCGCCGGCTCTCGGCCATGGGGCCCCGGGGCCGCGGGGTAGGGGCCGAAGATGACGGGGCCGCTGCCGACGACATCGCCAACTTCAAAATGGAGTCTGACGGCATATCGAGTAAGTGGGATCATACATAATGTCATTGAAATTCAGTTTTTAAAGGGTTAGTTCACCCAAAAATGAAAATTAAGTCATTAATTACTCACCCCCATGCTGTACCAACCCCGTAAGACCTTCGTTCGTCTTCGGAACACAAATGAAGATATTTTTGATTAAATTTGAGAGCTGTATAAATACCACATTGGCTCCTGAGGGACTGGCTCTTGACGGCCCAGAAAGTCAATGAAGAAAATGTTTAAATATCCCAAGTGACTACCGTGGCTCAACTATATGTTTATCAAGCGACGCGAATACTTTTTGTGGGAAAAAACAAACAAAAATAACGAGTTTATTCGACTATTTCTTTTCTTCCTTGTAGGCCAGAACGAGACTTCCTTATAGATTTCCACGACGCATGCGCGAGAATTGCGATCTGCGTACAACAGCTTACACTACTTCAGATCGCAATTCTCGCGCATGCGTCGTGGAAATCTATAAGGAAGTCTCGTTCTGGCCTACAAGGAAGAAAAGATATAGTCGAATAAACTCGTTATTTTTTATTGTTTTTTCGCACGAAAAGTATTCGCGTCGCTTGATAAACATATAGTTGAGCCACGGTAGTCACTTGGGATATTTAAACATTTTCTTCATTGACTTTCTGGGCCGTCAAGAGCCAGTCCCTCAGGAGCCAATGTGGTATTTATACAGCTCTCAAATTTAATCAAAAATATCTTCATTTGTGTTCCGAAGACGAACGAAGGTCTTACGGGGTTGGTACAGCATGGGGGTGAGTAATTAATGACTTAATTTTCATTTTTGGGTGAACTAACCCTTTAACACATACGCCAGTCCTGAAAAGAAACATTTCACAAATATAAGTTCACTTAGTTTAAAAGGGTATATGACATTTTACCCAATTCAATACAATTCTTACATTTTAAGTGATTTTTGTATTTTTTTGTGGCACTGTATAAGCGAAAAAGTAGTTTACACCCGTTTCTCTGATCCAAAATCATTCTGAATTACAATCAACCTTTTATTTCAGTTTTACTTTAGAGCTTAAACTAAACTCAAATTTGAAACTGCTGATGCCAAATCATTTTATTTTAGACTGACTGTATAGTTTTTATTCAGTTTCACTTCAGCTGCGCCTGTTTTAGATCCGAGAGACGAGACGAAATCTATAAATTTTATTGCATCAGATAATGAAATATCACATTTGACCATTTCGCGTCAAACAAACTTCTATTTGTGAAATGTTTTTGAAATTTTATAATTTCTAGTCCCTCTAGTAGCCAAAAATAGTTGTAATATACACTTCCAAGTAAGCAAGAAATAGCAACTAATAAGAAATAGCAACTCATAATATTGAAAATGCTGATGTGACTTCTCTACAGTGATGTCAGTGAATTTAGAGGACAGCGGCACCGGCACGACCTCAGAAGACGACCCCGAGACCCAGTCCACCGGCAGCCTGAGCTCCACGTCTGCAGCTCTTGACCTGCCCTGTCCGTTCCCCTCCTCTTCCTCCCCTTATGCCCTGCTCTCGTCCTCCTGCCCGTACCCTTCCTCTCCCTGCGCCGGCCCTGAGCTGCTCCAGCTGCCCGGCTCGGGGTCTCTGGAGGGCTTCGAGCAGGAGTCTCCGGTGTTGGGCCCTCGCAGCGAGTGCAGCGGAGCCTCGTCCCCAGACTGTGAACAGGAGCGAGGTGAGAGCCAGCAGAGGTTAAACCATGAGGAAGTGTGGAGGCAGCAAGCTACCGGCCAACTAGCGAGTTTTATTCACTTGCTAAAGACAGTTTTACTTACAAGGAATTGTGGAATAATGTTGATTATCCACATTTAAAAAAAAAAATATATTATTTTTTTATTTATTTAACATTGTGCTAGAGGTAGCTAATTTGCATCTGTGGTCCCTGGACAGGATGTTGTTACATAAAATTACAGCCCTCCATTACAATTCAGAAAAAAGAAGAAAACAATAATAATAATAATATTGCATAACAATATAAAAAAATTACAATATCACAATATCAAATCACAAAAACAAAAATAAGAATCCAAATTACCACATGATTGATTTATGATTTATAATAAGATTATGATTTTTCTTTTCTATGTATATATATATATAAAGAGTTCAGATGCAAAAGCCTCTAAGTGCCATTTGAAATTTTCTTCTAAAATGATCATTTTTATCAAGCTTGTATATTTAAGTTCAGTAATTTCACTTAAATGGCAATGAAGATTACCTATTAATTGTCATTTAAGTGAAATTACTGAACTTAAATATACAAGCTTGATAAAAATGGTCATTTTAGAACAAAATTTCAAATGGCATTTAGAGGCTTTTGCATCTGAACTCTTCATATATACTGTATATATATATATTAAATGTTTCTTTTTTATATTTGATTTTTTTAAATTAATTTTTGGTATGTTTTATCTTACCACAAGGGCATTCAAGATATAGGTGTCTTTGTTTCCACAGTACTTTAAATTTTGATATTTTTAGGTCAAACCGTTCCTGTCAGTCATATAATGGAGGTCTATGGTCACCACCTCAAAGAGCATGCACAGAGAAGTCCAGATTAAACATGATTTAATGACTCATAATGTAAGTACACATTGATGGCCTAAGACACGAAACGAGCGGTTTGTGTGAGAAATCGAACAGTATTTATATCGTTTTTGCCACAAAGCGCCCACGGCCTCAGATCACTTGGACATTGCTGTGGTTACAAAAGGTAAAAACGATATAAATACTCCTCGTTTTCTCACACAAACCGCTCGTTTCGTGTCTTAGGCCATCAATGTGTACTTACATTTACAAGTCATTAAATCATGTTTAATTCGGACTTCTCTGTGCATGCTCTTTGAGGTGGTGACCATAGACCTCCATTATATGACTGACAGGAACGGTTTGACCTAAAAATAACAAAATTGAAAATACTGTGGAAACAAAGACACCTACATCTTGGATGTCCTTGAGGTAAGATAAAACATACCAAAAATTAATTTCAAAGTGAACTATCCCTTTAAGAAATGAACAGATTCTGAACATTTCTCTGTGCTTTTGAACAGGGGAGAGAGCAGAGGGCGCAGAAGTTAAACCGGACAGAACGAACAACATCAGCCGTCAGAAAAGCTCTCGCCTGGAGAAGAGTCTGCGCAGTTTATCCCTCCAAACCGCAGACGACGACGACACGGACACTCGTTCTTTCACTGTGACCTCCAACACACCAGCAGTGCTGCTTCTCAACAGTGTTTAATCTCCCGCTCTATAGGAACACACTACAGTACGACGGGAATCGATTATCATCTCAGTGTTACGGACATCTCATCTCAGACTGGTTTAAAACTTTGAAAACCATGAAAGTATTAGAATCGGCATGCAGACATCAGCTATGACGTGATATTGAACTGTTCATCATCACTGAGTGGATGTTCTTCATGTCTGAAGTGTTCGTGTCGTGAATTTGCCGCGGCGTCTCAGAGTCTCACTTGAAACCACTCCATTTTGATTGGTGTTGAAGACACACACACTAACGTCACCTGATTGTGTAAATAAAGCTTACGACTGAAAGCGGCGAGCGGGAGATTTCTGCACTTGTTTTTCACTGCGATGAACTTTCTCTATAGTCTTAGATTTACTCCACAGGTCATTACGTGACGAGGGACTCGTGTAGTTCAAAGCTATATATTTATACTCAATGTTTATCTCGTCATCATGATGTTATCGATGTGTTTTCATGGCACAAAGTTGTTATTTGTGTAATAAACAGATGCTCACAGCTCGAGTCTCTTTCCACCGTTGTGATTTCACACAGTGAGATGTTTTTATTCTGAAACAGAGAGGCTTGATCTTGAGATCTCACTAGACATCAGGGCGAGTTGCTTAACTGCTAAGACTAGTCAGTTACGTAAAAATTGGTCTAATTTGATGCCAAACAGTAAGACTGATTACTGATTAAATTATGAAAAATGTTGGCGGTGGCAGGCAACTTTTTTTTTTTTTTTTCTGCTGGCAGGGAAAGAGTTGATAGTAGAAAGTGACTATAAAGGTTAGGTTGAGGTCACAATGCCATAGCTTACATGGAAAGGGGATGATTAAGGTTATAAAATAATCAAATGAAATCCAGTTTGTTGAAATTATTATATCAGCAAACTGGCCAAAGTAATTTTTTCAAAATAATGTCATCCCAAAAAGTAAACACTGTAAAAATACATGGTATGCTGTATGCATAGATAGACATTATGTGTAATGTGAGGAGTCATTTTCTCACATGTGATTTGAAATAAATTTGAGTGCTCATGATAAATAAGTTAACCCTTGTGCATCAATTGAAAAAAGTTACACATAGGTAAAAAGAGGACAAAAATGTCCATGTCAAAAAACTGTCATAAAAATGTGACGCTTTGGAGCACAGACTTAAGTTTGGTATCATTTTAAAGAAGACTCTTTGCAGATTATTGCTGAAGTAAAAAAAAATAATAATAAGTAAATCCAAGAAAAAGTTATATAGGTATAAGTTTATGAAAATTATTTATAAAAAATATTTTATATAAAATATATATTTTATAAATCAGGTTGAACTCAAAACTGCAATAAAATCAAAGCCATGAATCTAAATAGGTTGTGTTCCAAATTTGAGGATGATATCTCAAAAAATGAGCTTTCGGTAACAGTTTGTTTGGGCGTAGTAACATATTTTCCCCATTGGGTGGCAGCAAAACCCCACTGGAGCTCACAGTGATTGGATTTGAATTTGCAGTTTTTCTCTCTCAGTATTACAAACACACACACATATTTTTTTATAACACACATGCTAACCACACTCTGACATCCATACCAACACACCCACACAAATATTGTTGCATAATTTATCCCGTTGGCTCTGTAGTATGCTGAACCAGAAAACAGGAATAAAGCGATATTTGTTTATAGGCCAAACTGAATAAAAATGCCATCATCTGATAAAAAATAGTAAAAAATAAAATTTTGAAGCCTTGCCATCAGAATGAAAGCCTCTTAACAAAGATTGCATAATTTTATAGTTAACTGAACCAGGGATTAAAAATGGCAGTTTTAATGGGTTTCAATGGGGACATTTTTGTCCAAAAGGTGCTGAGAGGGAGTATTTTTTGTACCTAATGCAAAAAATATTTTTTAAGAACATGACGGTGAAATAGTAAAATTCCAATAAAAATACACACCTGTGCCAAGTTTTTTGCATTTAGCTTTAACACAGGCAAAGTGATCCAAAAAAAAAAAAAACTGAAAAGGACAAAAATGTCCATAAGGATGCACAAGGGTTAAAAAACTAAGATATTGTAGCATTGGGAATACCAGCTATTGGTTGGAGGTAGTCACAAGCCATGAAAGCATTGGGCTATTAAGTACACACATTTCTAATAGTCCTCAAGATGTTGAAAAGACACTTACCTGCAATATGGGAATGCACTGCGGTTCTTCTTATTTGGAAGGAAATTGGAGATTGGATTTACCACTTGGTCTTCTTGGTGATAAACACTTCTACCACAGGGTGTCAGCAAAGCACATTTTGGATTCATAAGGACAGGTTTCATTATTGCAGCAAGATGAGTTTTGTTGACATATAGGGGTTACATTTATGACCGAAACAGCTGACTTTGAATGCTTGATATCTGGAAGAAAAGAAAAGGGAAACTTTTAGTAAGTCTGGGATGATTTTTACTGTACATTAAGATTTTCTTTCTATTCGCTATTTCTTAGTTATGACAGATATAAAATGTCTTTGCACTCATTTAAACTAGTTGCAGGAATTTTTTTTAACTCTCTCACACAATCTCTCCCCAATAGACTTCACATGCGTCCAGCGTTTAGTTGATCCTGATAAGCTTCTTGTTCCAGCTGTAAAAATGACGGCTTTCTTCTTCGTTTGCCATCGCGGCATCTTTGTTTCCAGGCGGACCGTTAAAGGGATAGTTCACTTTCAAATTAACTTTTGGTATGTTTTATCTTACCTCAAGGGCATCCAAGATGTAGGTGTCTTTGTTTCCGCAGTATTTTAAATTTTGATATTTTTAGGTCAAACCGTTGGTCTGTCAGTCATATAATGGAGGTCTATGGTCACCACCTCAAAGAGCATGCACAGAGAAGTCCAAATTAAACATGATTAATGACTCGTAAATGTAAATACACATTTATGGCCTAAGACACGAAACGAGCGGTTTGTGTGAGAAAACAAACAGTATTTAAGTCATTTTTACCTCTTGTTGCCACAAAGCGCCCAAGGCCTCAGATCACTTGGACGTGGCTGTCATTACAAGAGGTAAAAACGATATAAATACTGTTCGATTTCTCACACAAACCGCTCGTTTCGTGTCTTAGGCCATCAGTGTGTACTTACATTCACAAGTCATTAAATCATGTTTAATTTGGACTTCTCTGTGCATGCTCTTTGAGGTGGTGACCATAGACTTCCATTATATGACTGACAGACACAAATGGTTTGACCAACAAATATCAAAATGCCGTTGTTTCACAGTCGAAAAGATGGAAAAACAACAAACTACTGGAAACCACAACATTAGATGCCATTTTTGATGCCCTTCCCTCGCTAACTAACTTCCCTTTGCCTCGTTTCCTACTAGATCACTAGGGATCAACTATGGAGCTGATTTATTATTTACAGTTTTAAAAAAAAAATATTAAGTCACTTGTCAAGGAAATTTGCGAGAGGAAATATTTCAGCTCCCTAAAAAGTATTTGGGCCAGAAGTTATCAATTATTACAGGTGTGGTGAAACTGTGGCCATGAATATGATTTATGGGGTGATCGTACAGTACAGCAGTGTTTCCCAACCCTGTTCCTGGCGGCACACCAACACTGCGTGTTTTCTTTGTCTCCCTAATCAAACATACCCGATTCAACCCATCAGCTCATTAACCCAACCTGATTATGAGCTGATGGGTTGAGTCAGGTGTGTTTGATAAGGGAGACAAAGAAAACACGCAGTGTTGGTGTGCCGCCAGGAACAGGGTTGGGAAACACTGCAGTACAGTATGTATGTGCAATCACATATTGTCCTGAAAACAGTTTTGATTTGATTAGTAAGGATTGATTTTGTATGTTGAGTATGTGGTAATGTTATTTGTACTGTGTGTAGATGTGATGTATTGCTTGGCTACTGGTTGCGTTAAATGCAAAAGTCTGACGTCTGTATTTGCATCCTTCCAACACTGAACTGTCTTTCCTTTCTCTTTATTCTCACATGCTTAAAACCTGACCAAAGTTATTTCTAGCAAATATATCTCTATCATCTTGCACTGAAAATTCTGTCCAATCAAATGCTCTCTAAAACATCCTCTTATACCACATGTCTCTAGCAATCAGAAGGAGCAAATCAAGCACAGTTGCAAGTGCACAAGGACTGTATGATTCCCAGGGTTTTCTAGTAACTACCATCAAAAAATTGCTGGGTTGTTTTAACCCAACTTTGGGTCAAATATGGACAAACCCAAACGTTGGGTTAAAAATTGTCCATATTTGACCCAAAGTTGGGTTAAAACAACCCAGCAATTTTTTGATGGTAGTTACTAAAAAGCAACATGATATTTTTCTCTAAAGCAACATATATTTTTCTCTATAGAGAAAAATGTCATGTTGCTTTTCAGATGCAAAACTACTATCGCTAAAATCACAAGGGATCGCTGACAACAGTGTGAAGTTTCTATGTGTGTGTTTGTGTGGTTGAGAGAGCGCAAGGAACAAAGCACGATTTATTTCCATAGATAATTTAGGGAAAAACAATAAAGTCGCATTTGTTTGTTTTGTCAAAAGGGTTTTGGTTCATTTGCTGTTTTAAGTTATTTTTGACAGTCCTAAAACAACAACTGTGCATTAACTGAAAAATAAATGCACAATCATTAACTGATCCGAATCAAGACTTCAGCAGCCCAGTGGTCAAATCGGGTTCATCAAATGTAATCAAACGTTAAACCGGGACCATATCAGTGGGCTAAAAACCATTAGACAAGATAACCCAATCATTAACATTCAAGAGATTCAAATTAACAGCCCTAATTTATATATATATAAAATTTAATATTTTAAAGCTTTTATATTTAATTTAATATTTTAAAGCTTTAAATTTCTCCTCGAGGAGAAATTTAAAGCTTTAAAAACATCTTCAACCTGATTTTTATTACATTGCACACAGGTATGAACTTTTTTTTTTGCGTCAGCCCTATGCGACACATACATAACCCTTTTTAATAATTTGCCTATATATATATATATATATATATATGTCGTATAAAAAAATCAGCAAAGTCAACTAAAGTGTTGTTATCTTAATTCTTTAATATATGAAGTCTTCATACGATTATACATTTTTTTTTATATTTTAAGCAGTAAGTATCTGCAAAACAATCATCAACCTGACACATTAATTTCTAAAAGACATCTGCGTCCCAGAAAGCAAAGTTCACCCCGCAGGTTTAGCCGTGTGACAGTCCCAGACTGATGGAGTTGGAGATCAGATGAGCTGGAAGAGTTTGAGAAGCGCAGTGGAGGTGAGCGTGTAGATCAGAAGTCCAGGCAGACCCACCATCCCCACGGGGGAAAGAGATGCCCCAGTGCTGTTGGTGGTGGTGGTGGTGTTTGGGTGGTGGCTTTGGATATGCTGGTGGTAGGGGCTGCGCCGGGGCGGGGGTGGGACTGCTGGTGGCATCGGTAAGACCATAGCTTGCAATCATTACAGCCACCAGCAGCAGTAGTACTTCAGTTTTGGAAGCCATATTCAGGTCACTGTTTAGATGAGGAAAACAATTCATTAAAATATTTTATTTGATTTAAAATCATATTCTATTTATTCATATTTTCTAACTAACTAAGACACATCCCAAAATTGCCTGCATCTAACATGATCGCCTATAAAACATAACCTGTATATATAAAATAGTCATATTTACCCTTTGCCACGGATGATTGTTCTCTGTGTCTGGCGATTCTCTTGAAGGTCGTTAATGTGAACTCCAGAGTTGAGCTCAGGCTTTTATTTGAATATTACACATTACACCCTCGTTAGAGGCGGAGATGTGCTATTACCACATGATGGAAGGGAATGCATTTATTATGATTATGTCAGTCTCTTCCTTTTAGGGATTATCCATCCCAAAATTAAAAATCGGTTATCATTTACTCACCCTCCAAAACATTCTTCAGTGAAACACTGGATTGAATTGACTTTCACTGTATGGCAAAAAAAAAAATATAATTGAGAAACACATTTTGTGTTCCACAGCAGAAAGCAAGTCATAGAGAAAGAGATTCACACTTGAATCTGGAGTTATTGAACTTTTATAGCATATTTGGGAGCAAAAAATCTGATTGTCTTGATTTTCTTGAAAAACAGCTGTGTAGTTTTTATTTATGCATTTCAACTATAATACCCTGATGTGAAGAAACGGTAGTCTTTTCAACCAGCAATATAATACATACATTTATTTTCTAGATACTGTATCCCAGGACGTCTTTGACTTTGCGCTGGTGTGAAGTTTTACATAAGCTGGAAGAGGTTCTGTCAGTTCCTAGGTATTACGGTTAGCTATTAATATAGACTATATGCCAATGTGGAACTTGCAGTAGGAAGAAAGTTTGCATATCATACCTGTTTTATGCATGAACGTCAACACACAGCGTTGTATTGTTCTTAGGTTGTTCACTAATACTGTTAAAACAACAGTGGGAACCTTTCTAAATCTCTCAATGTAGCTATTTACTTGTGTAAGTAACAATGGTGCTCATTAAATCTGTTACACACGTAGTCAACAGATTAAGGCAAAGAAAAGTGCTTTTGCCCCAAAGGAGACAGTGGGAAGGAAAACTCCCTAAAAAGAGGAGGAAGAACCAAGACTCGGGTGGGAAGGCCCCGTATATTCAAACAAACTGACTTTCAGTTCGGTCCGAGTCAAAATTACAGGAGTGAAACCTCCCACTACCTATCCAATACAATCTAATTAGAATTTAATACTTCATTTTTATGTAATTATGTAATTACCCAGCACTGACAGTATGCACAAATGCTGGTATTGACAAAAATGACACATACACGTCAAAACCAAAGTGTAATCGGTGCTTCATGGCATCAGATTTCTAATAATTTGCCTATTTCCTCAACAACCGATATGCATGGTCTCGTTACAATACTTGCACCATTGTTTTTATTTGAGTTCATTAAAATTGGTCTGAATCTCATCATCTAAGGTCAAGTCCTCCATATGACATTCAAAAACAGCACATATGGTCCATTCAAGTCCTGGGAAGTTATTTACGAGATGGGAAGGTCCTCACTTTCGTCGGAGTAAAATGGTGGTGTACCTTCTCTACACAGAAATACAGCAAGGCTTAACTCTATTTCTAGAAAACAAGAACAAAGAATATGCATATCTTGCTTTTTTAGGCTTTTAATTAATTTATGTACCCACTATAAACTTTATCGTTGCTTATTACATTGTTATATTACAATGCTATCATATTTTGTAGCCTAATTATTACTTCACTCACTTCTAAATACCATAGCGAAATACAGGTATACCACCATGTTTCTCACTGACACACGATTAGTAAAAATCCTGAGCTTCCCACTTGATCTTTCCGACAAATTACAAAAATGGAGCTCGTGCAACAACATACCTTTTACTGTCATGCGCGTGACGTCACCGTCGGCCGGAGTTACTCACAGTGAGTGGCAAAAAGACTGATCGGCTGTATTTGTTTTCAGTGTAAATGCTGCGAAAAACAAACACAACACATATAAAATGGGAAAGAGGTTTGCGATAGACTGTAAAACTAGATTTGACAAAAAAATCAGAGGTATATTTTTACAGACTGCTATAGAAAGAGGAGCAAATGGATCGCTGCAATTCACAGAAACAATGGACTCCAGTCAGCGAAAGGTGGATTTGCAGTTATCATTTTGTGTCAATATGCTGAATTTAGGTGGAAAACCACACCCATATATTTTGTATTGGTATATTAGCAACTCATCAATTAAATATTTATTCTGCATTACAGGATGTTTTTTGATAAACACCGACCAAGGGCTGGACGATATGATGATATAGGCAATATATAACACTGATAAGTGATCACCCAAATTTAGACCTACCTATATTGTATTTATATAAAGCATTCACAGGCAATTTTGCTTTATGTTTAGGTCTATATATTTCTTTTTTTCCCTGCTTTCGAAATCAGGCAAACATAAATGTCAGGCAACACGATTCATGGCTGAATGTCAATATCCATGGATCACTGGATAGTAAGTTGTAAGAAACACTATATTTGAGTCCAAAATTTAGTTTAAATTGATTAAAAATGTTTGTTTTAGTCGCATTTTCCCCTATTAAATTCAGTCACGCAAATTGCCATCTTTCACCACTCAGTCAGAAGCCACTTCCGGTGGGAAAGTGACGTCAATGCAACATAGAAATGCGTATTACTCTTGACGTAATGTCACCCGGAAGACGATTAACAACAATGTGCTATTGTTTATTATAAATATATTTTTAATGCAAGTGCATGCAAATATGTATATAGGGAAAAGCTAATGCAAATTATCAGAAGAGACATACATTAGCAGGGAGCGACACGTTTTCTAACTTTAGAAAACGTCCTGTTGTTTACCTTGTCTACCTCATGTTTAGCCTATGTCAAATTGTTTTTAACCACGATAATAAGACCTCTTAAACCATGACAGATTTTCAATGATTAACCTGAACTTTTGGACTCACTTTTGAGCTCATGACCGACTGACCCACATGTTTCCATGTCCACCCTCCTCATGGCGCTCGGGCTCGCCGGGTTTGTGCTCTGTTTGAGCGGACTGAACCTCATCCTCGCCGCGGATCATCCGTCCTATGTGGCGGCGGTGTACGAGCACCGAGTGCGGCTGAACCCGAACCCCAGAGTCCCGCTGGACCGGAGACCCGCCCTGGAGCACATGAAGCAGAACCTGCGTGTGTTTAAAGAGCAGACAGTGCTAGCAGCACAGCAGGTACACTGACAGTGTGTGTGAGAGCTTCAAACACCGATCAAATGACAACAATAAAAGGAATGCGATATTAATTTGTACCCATTTAAACACGTACTATATGCAAACTATACATAATATTAATGCCAGAAGAAGTCACAACTTTTATAGTAGTGATAAACATCTCTCAGTGCTTTTGTCAA